TACCACACCATACCATACCACACCATACCATACCATACCACACCATACCACACCATACCACACCATACCATACCACACCATACCATACCATACCATACCATACCATACCTTACCCTACCATACCATACCATACCATACCATACCATACCCTACCATACCATACCCTACCATACCATACCATACCATACCATACCATACCATACCATACCCTACCCTACCATACCATACCATACCATATCTAACTGTTCCCGTGGCATAAACTAACAACTTACACAGGGTCTAGAGCAGATCCTACCAGCACAGCGTACTGATACTGGGCGTTGATGCATCGAGAGTCAACTCCTGGGGGAAGGAATGATTGGGAAAGATGTACAAACATAATTGTGACGCAGCGTGGTGGGATCAGGCTCTCGTCAAAATAATCAAAATGAAGAAACCTGCATTTTTCCGCAGGTTTTTGAATTTTTATCAAATTTTTGTTTTTTGACTCAACACCTTTCATGCCCAATAAAGAACTCATTTCTGTTTGTATTTTTCTGAAAAATGTTGATTAAAGGCACACAAAAATGTAAATTTTAAGTTGCCAAGGACTTTTAAGCTAAAGAAATAACTAATCTGAAGGATGGTTATTTCTAACACGAAAGTTCACTTTGACTTTGAGGTGTTTTTAAAAATGTTTTGGTGCTTTCGTGTTGTTGTTGTTGTTTGTTTGTTTTTGTTAACTGTTTTTCTTTTGTTGTTATAGGGTTGTTTTTAAAATATTTTTGTTCAGTATTTTTACTGTGTTTTTGTCCGGATTGGTTTGGTTTAGTTTGAGTTTGCTTTTTTTGCTTTTTTTCGGGGGGGGGGGGGCCATGATTTCTACTGTTTACAATCTCTTAACGATAGCTGTAGTGATACCATCCATCGTCCCAAAAATTTGCGTACAATTTTGTCTTGGTCAAGGAAACTTGACCGTCTGTGTTTCCTGTTCAAATTATGTCAAGGGTTAACGATGACTGACGATGACGATAAGGAGTTCAGTGACCTCTTCGCCGCTGAGAATCGTGCTGTGGTTGCTTTACAACAATTAAGGTGGAAAATGGGGGACACAAGTAGTTTGCCCAGAACTCAAACATTGTATTTCCTGCTTTTAAAGTTTGCTTTTAGACAACCATCCTGTCACTTTCTTTTCCTCTCGGTCGTCTCTGCTTTATTTCTGATAAGGTTAAAGTAAGCTTGAGCCTTCCATTCGGTTCTTTCAGAGAGGCCAACTTTGGTTCACTGTGACATCATGCGCGGAAAGTACTTTTACCTTAATTGAAGCAACTAGAGACTTAGAACCATATTCATGCTTTTTGTGCTCCTAAACCGCTCACTGTCATGGCCACAGTTCATCCCTATCTATAATTTTTTTTAAACTTCACTGCGAAGCGTGTGCACCGTGAGCCAAGCTATTATACCCAAATGAAGGACGGTGGGGGTAGGGAATAATCTTGATTATTTGATCGAGTGCACACGGCACCTTCACCACCCCTTGCCCTTCATTCAACTAGGCTACATGTAAAATGGTGCGCTACATTGTTGACCGGAAATACGTCACATTGCACTATCTATGTGTCTATGATATTATAATGTGCTTGTAATGTACTTACCCTGAGGCACGCATTCCAGGCAGTATGACGTCACTGGGCAGGAAGCAACTATACACTCCTGTACCTTACGGCACATCTCTTCGGCATCCTCGCACGGCGCTTCCACAGAACACTCAGTGACGTCATCGTCCGACGTGAACACTGTCAAACCATGTGTAGGTACCGCGAGGAACAGCAGCTGATAGATGGAAAGAAATTCTGAATAGTACAATTAACTAGATTTTTTTTGGTTTGTTTTTGTTATTGATGATGATGATGATGATGGGGAGGAGGAG